TCGTCAGCTTGGTACTGGTCAAGGTGGAAGACCGGGTACAGAGGCCGATCTACTACGCCAGCAAAGCCCTTAGTGGTACGGAAACCCGATACTCCAACTTGGAGAAAATGGCTCTGGCTCTGGTCACCTCGGCCAAAAAGCTTAGACCATACTTTCATGCCCACAGTATTCAAGTGCTCATTAACCAGCCACTTAAGTAAATCCTCCAAAGGCCGAAAGCATCTGGCCACTTGATCAAATGAAGCGTAGAGTTGAGTGAGTTCAACATTGAATACTCACCCTGGCCTGTGATCAAAGTTCAGTCCCTAGCTGACTTCATTGCCGAATGCACATTCATCACCGAGGATCCTGCCCCACCGCCACAAGTATGGACCCTGCACATGGATGGCTTATCCAATCACCAAGGCAGCAGAGTTGGCCTTATTCTCTTCGGCCCGGATGACACGATGTTAGACCATGCCCTCAAGTTCGTGTTTAAAGTGTCCAACAATGAAATTAAGTATGAGGCCTTGATCATCGGGCTATGCCTCGCCTTAGTCCTGGGAGCTTGGAGAGTAGAAGCCTTCAATGATTCTCAGTTGGTATTCAACCAGATCCATGGACAATTTGAAACACGCCCACGATGGCAAGTTACCTACAGAAGGTGCAGGAGCTCATCCACCAACTTGAGCACTTCAACATCCAGCAGATTCCTCAAGCCGAGAACATATGAGCCGATGCGCTATCCAAGTTAGTCAACTCCCCGACAACCGACCTCGGCAAGATAGCACAGTTGGGCACTCTAGCCCAGCCGAGCATCGCACCAATAGCTCTCCTTATCCTTCTAATACAGCACAACCCATCCTGGATGGACCCCACAGCATAGTACCTCCGAGAAGGCACACTTCTAGAAGATCGGACAAAAGCGAAGAAACTCCAGCACAAATTAGCTCAATATTACCTTATCCAAGGTCAGCTCTACCGCCACTCACACACTCTCCCCTACCTGAAATGCCTCTCCCCATCCGAGGCAGACTACGTCCTCAGGGAGATCTACGAAGGTATCTGTTGCGCACGCACACTAGCACATAAGGCACTCCGACAAGGTTATTTATGACCGACGATGAAGCAAGATGCAGCCCAATCAGTTCGAAGTTGCGACAGTTGTCAGCGACACTCCAATCTCCATCACCGGCCTGTAGTCCCCCTGAAGCCAATCATCAGCCCATGGTTGTTCGCGCAATGAGGGATGGACATCCTCGGCCCCTTACCTACTATGATTGCTCAAAAAAAGTTCCTTCTAGTGGAGATAAACTACTTCACCAAATGGGTGGAAGCTGAAGCTTTGGCACGCATTACTGCACATAATGCCCGAAACTTTTTCTAGCAAAGTATTGTCTACCGATTCGGTGTTCCACGCATCCTCATCACAGATAATGGGACACAGTTCACCGATCGAAAGTTCGAGGCCCTCTGCTTTGACCAGAAGATCGACCATCAGATGACAGCTGTACACCTACCCCTGGATGGTAGCACAACAGCAGAGGGTGGCGAAGTACTACGACACTAAAGTTAGAAGACGTGAGTTCAAGACAGGTGACCTCGTCCTTCGCAAAGTCATAGTGCCCGCGCTCGAAAAAGGAAAGCTCGGACCAAACTGGGAAGGGCCGTATAGAGTCACCAACGTTCTTGGTCCGAGCACCTACAGGCTCGAAGACCTGGATGGCCAACCAATATTGAGGAGTTGGAACATAGGAAACCTTCGGATGTACTATCAATGATTCAATATTAATAAAGAGCACCTTGTTCAAGCAAAACGTTGAGCGCCCAACACACCACATGCGCGCACACCACACATAACACACACACCACTACACAATTGAGCTATACAACCGCGCTACACGACCAAGCTACACGACCGCGCTACACGATCACGCTACGCGACCACACATGTGTAGCTCGATATAACCCATTGACTCGGCTGACCTCCAAATGGCCTGAGCCCACAACGCACAGCTCGGTAGCGTATTGCCGACCTACCTGACTCAGCTGACCTCCGATGTGTTTTCCGGAATGGTCATTGGTGCCGGATATGATCTAAGGTCGGATTTGAGGAGTGCAAGGTTGCACGGGTCCAGGTAGAGAGTCGAGAGAAAAAGCGGGAATGGTGGAGAGAATTCTGTTTTAGCTGATTTTGGAGCTAATCGGACAAGCTAATGGGCGTCCGTTAGCTCTGCACACACCGAGGAGGGTTTGCGTGTGTCAGGACACTTGGCAGCCTTCCAATGTGTGAGACATTTTTGGAGCACCTGGCCGTGGGGCGCAGATGTGAACTCATAGGGCACACGTTGTTTACCAAAAAAATGGTTCACGTTGGAGATCCATGATGTATTGTTATATATATTTGTTTGAATCATTTTTTTCAAAATATCTATTTTACCCTTTTATGAATTAGTGTGCATATGTTTTTATTAAAATAGTCCTGTCTCAACAACTGCTCAAACATTGTTCATCTTCTTCCTCACGACACATGGCGGCAGAATGGCGGTGCACTCTATAACCCGCTTGAACACTATTCATCTTCTTCAACTGCTTCACCATTAAAGCGTTCACGTAGTCTTGCATGAAAAATCTGTAGGTTCTTCTCATGGAAAAGTATAAAAAAAGGTCATCCTTTCCTCTTTAAAACCCTTACAGACCCGTCTTGACAAACCAGAGTTCCCTACCTCCCTAGGGTTCTCTTATCTCTTCTCTCTTTGTTTCTTTTCAGAGATGAAGATGATGAGGAGCTTCGATGGACCTACAGTCTCTGCTCTCTATCTTTTAGTTCTGTTGTGCATTCCTTTCTGCGCATTTTCTATGTTACATCCTTTCAATTTCAGAGGGCAATAGTTACCTAGGTAATCCCTTTAGCCTATCTCCCTTTTCTGGGTGAAAACGTGCACAAACACGAACATGCCAGGCTCGAATTTCTTCTCCTCCTAGGACTTCACCTCCAACCTGTGCAACTTCTCTGGTGTGTACTGTGAAGCCAACAAGGTCACCGCTTTGAAACTAGGTGATCCCATAGTTGGTTCTCTTGGCCTAACCGGTCGTCTCAATCCTACAATCGGTAAACTTTTAGCCTTAGCTAAGCTCTCCATTGTTCCGGTAGAATTATTGGTACTCTTCCTCAAATGCTACCACAATTGAAGAACCTCTGGTTTCTCGCCATTAGCCGTAACTTCATATCCGAGGAGATTCCGACGAATCTTATAGAGCTTCGGAGCCTTCAAACGCTCGAACTTAGCTACAATCAACTGAGACGCCAGATTCCCTGAACAATCGGAACTCTCCCATTGTTATCCAATGTCATTCTCTATCACAACCATCTGTCTAGTTCAGTCCCTCCGTTCTTATCATGAGCCCTAACCTGCCTCGACCTCAAGCACAATAACCTCTCTGACATTCTCTCACCTTCGTCTCTGCCTTTGTCGCTCCAGTACCTGGCAATGTCGTACAACCATCTCACAGGACCAGTCGACCGGCTACTATCATGGCTCAATCAATTGAACCACCTGGATTTAAGCATGAACCAGTTTACGAGCATTATCCTGGGCAATCTCTTCTCATTTCCCATCACAAACCTTCAGCTACAGAGGAACCTATTTAGTGGCCCTGTTCGACCGTGGAACCAGGTCAGAATACAGACTGTTGATCTTAGGTACAACCGGTTAGCCAGAGCCTCGACTACCCCCAAAAGAAGCAGTAAAGGACTGAGAAAGGAGAGAGGGCTATTTTAGTAAAAACTAAGAAGCCTGGAGGGGGGAGTGCACCGCCATTCTGTCGCTGTGCGTCTTGAGGAAGAAGATGAATAGTGTTTGAGCAGTTGCTGAGACAAGGCTATTTTAGTAAAAACATATGCACATTAATTTGTAAAAGGGTAAAATAGGTAATTTGAAAAAATGATAATCTCTTTAACGTTTTCCATCTTGATCATTGACGGAAGGGAGGTACTTGTTAAATTTTTCAAAATAGAGAGGTTTTTGATAAAGTAAAACTATAAGGAAAGTTTTTATAATGATCAAAAACTTGAGGGGAGAGGTTTTTGTATTTTACCCAAATAACAATGTATCTAAACAGCCATTTGTGTTATTTCATGTATGAATTTAAACGGGTAATCCATTGTTGGATGCCCAGATTTGACCACCATTAATGGTCTCCAGCTGCAATATTAACCGATCAAGGAGGAAAGGATAATTACCCTAGTTTAGGGTTCCCAAATTGCATGTTGAGGGCTCAAATTTCTACATAAAACCAGCTAATGTTAATCATTCCAAGCAAATAAACGGTTGATCTCCAATGAATGCATTACATTCCCCAATAAACTTTAGGATCTTTATAAATAAGTTTATTTATCAAAACCATGGCAAAATCACTATGAATTCAATTGTTTAAGAAATGAAAAAAAGGAAAAAAAAATTGTTTGATTGTATTTGGTTGCAATGCAAATAAATTTGCACTGATGTAAAATTATGGCAGTGCAAATGATTTGAATGTAAAATTTGACATAATTTTGTTTCAAATTTTAGTTAATTTTGTTTGATTGCCGTACAGTAAGTTAGGACACAAAGCAGAATAAAATAAAAACCAAAACAAAATAAAACAAGAATTTTCATTTTTTTTCGTTTGCACTTCCATGTATTTGTGTTAGTGCAAATAAAATTGCACAGCAATCAAATACAGTCTTAAGAAAATAGGAAATTCAAATCCGTTCCGGTTCCTCTACGTTTCAGGTCGCAGGGATAACCCTGCTAGTCCATTCATACTGGGACACGTATCTTGCATGTTTTAATCTACCGAATGTTGCAGAATACGTGAACAAGAAGACGAAAAAGTTGTTAGTTGCCATGGATGTTGGATCGAAACGTAGAAAAGGGTTCGAACAGGTCCAGTTACACCGTAGGAGAACCTAGTTGAATTTCTTCTTTTTACGATGACACTGGCGTCTGATATTTGGCTTGACTCGCAGGGATATCCCTGCTGAACCAAGCGTAGAGGATTAGGAAAGGTGCATAGGGAGAGGAGGGACGATGGAAAGGAACTGATGCCGAAAGGCGAAACCGAGTCCAGTTCAGAGAATATGAGAAGAAAACCCAAACCGAAGGAACGCTCCCGCTTTTGAAATTTGTTGTGAAGCAGAGCTCGAAAAAGTGGTACCTCTCTCTCTCTCTCTCTCATCAATCGAAAAAGGTGGTTCAATTCTCTCTCTCTGACGTTTGTCACGTTTCATCAGGTCTCTTTTCTGGCTTTCTTTGCTGCACGTTTTCTTCAGATCCCTCCCGAATTCCGATCATAGAAGACAGCCAGGTCAGTCTCCCCATCTCCCTTTCATATTCATTTTCCCAATATCTTTTAATCCGTCTCTTCTCAATAAGTTATGCTTTGGGCTTTTGGTTTTCATCGTGTACGATTTAGCTTCGATTCTTTGCTTGTCCCGGATCTGTTCTTGCTCCATGAGTTTTTGAGGTTCTGATCGAACACCCTTTGCGGTTTCGCTCGCAATTCGATCTCATTTCTTTCGTTCCCATCCGGGTATTGCTTGTTTACGCTTGATTTACCGACCCTTTGGTGCTCTACTGAGTGATCGTGGTTTTTGATCTCGAGTTGTTACAGATTCTGAATTGTAATCTAATTGGGTCGGAAATGGCCGAAGATGCCAAGGAGGATCAAGCTTCTGGAGAAAACAATTCTTTGTCTAGTGATACAAAGAAAGCGGAAAGGGAAATCAATAAGCGGCGAAGAGGGTTACTCTCTCGGGTTTGGAATGGGATCTTTCGAACACGAGCGGAGGATTTTGAGAAGAGACTGCAACATATATCTAAAGAAGAAGCTGCCGTCCTTGCAAGGATGAAAAGGAGATCCCAGAGTTGGCGGCAGACGGCGAGGAATCTTATCGTTTTCTCCATGGTGTTTGAGGTTAGACTGTTTGGCTCCTTTCAATCATCTAAATTCTGTAATTCAGATGGTCAAGAATGTATTATTTTGTCAAATGATCTATGTATCCATTCAATGCATAGATTTTGATTCAGGTTCACCTTAGAATATTGCTTATTTCATCCATTTCTCTGTCACGTTGGGCATATATTTTTATTTGATGTAAATAGGAAATTTGATTTAGTGGGCTGCGTTAGATTTTCCCATATACTCAAGAAGATATTTATGAAGAGACACATGAGAAAAGAATTGCATAAGGGCGATTAGTTTCATTACGTGCATATATAGATCTCCCTAGTCAATTAATCCCTAAAATTTATGTGATTGTATGTAGTGCTCATTTGTTCTGTTCATCTGAAGTAAAATTAAGAAAATTAGCCATTTATGCACTAGATTTGTAAGAAATACAGCAGGGAAACTGGTCAAGAGACAGTACTCCCGATTATGATCTGTGGATGTGGATGCAAATGTCAAGTTTTGACATAGACATTAGGTATTGGATATAGAAAGGTTAGAAATATGGAAGAGGCCTTCGTAAACATAGTCATAATCAGTCAGAAATGTATTTAAGCATGCGTACATGCACATGTTTTTTCATTTAAGATCATGTTGTTAAATTTAATGGAAGAAGAAACCAATATAAATTGCACAAGACATCTTTATGCACGTTTTAGAAAGATATACACATACACACTTATAACCAATCTTGTGCCCAACATCTGGAGACCAGAACATGCTTGTGGTGATAGTGTGTTTATATGTGCTTTTTAGGGGCATGCTATCCCCTGTCCTATGTACCCCCCTTTTCCTTTGTATAAAAAAAAAGTCATGGGGGTTCTTCTATGACTTGGTTGGTGCATTCCTAACTGAGATCCATTCACAAGCTTACTCTAGCTGCTATTTTGGTTGCCTTTTGAACCTAGCTAGTGCTAAATCAGAGACTTCCAATTTGTCTATCTTTAGATCCTCTATTAAGATCAACGAAGAAGGTAGAAAAAGATCTTTCTTTGGGTAATTATAAAAAGATCATTAGGGATTTCTTTGGCTGGATGACCAACAACGTGAGAATAACTAATCAATTTAGAAACATTATGCAAGAAACAGTGTTTTAAAAGGCGTGAGAGGTGTATGCCTGGAGGTGTGCCTCCAAGCGAGGCACCCCAAAATTTCCCTGAGGCGTATTCCAGATGTGTTGATGCCTCTAAGGTGTACACCTCATATGCCTTTTGCATGAAACATGCTAGAAGCGTATGCCTCATTCACATGTCATACAAAAAGACAAAACAGAAAAAAAACGAAAGAAAAAAGAAATGAAAGGAAGGGAAAGAAAAAGAAAGAAAGAAAGAAAAAGAAGAAAAATAAGAGAAAAGAAAAGGGGAAGTAAAGAGAATGGGAAAAAAAGTTTTCAACTAGTACTATGCATCTTCATTTTTCTTAATATAAAATATCTTTATTAAAAAAAGAGAAAGATGGATCCTCCTTCCTCCTCTTCATCCTCCCCCTACTCCCTCCTTATTCCCCTCCTCTTAAGGAGGCTTATGCCTCCTTGTGTACAGCAGGCTTTTCTGAACTATGCCCCATGCCTCCAAGTAGTGGAACGCCTTTTGTCACACCTCCGTGTTTTAAAACATTGGCAAGAAGAAAGGAGAACAGAGGTCAATAATGGGGAGGATGCGAGATAGCAAAACCTTTATTCGTGGAAAGTGATTGTGGAGATTTCCTGATCCTGAGGTACTGTTTATGCCACTCAGTTATAGAGTAAATGTGGACTTGGTCTGAATGGCTAGGTCGTAGGGTTCAGCATTGCACTACCATCCCTTTGGAAATCTATTGACACTATTTTTTTCCTGTTTCTCTCACCTAACCAGATACTATGTGGTGTTTGGAAATAGAGTAAGGTTTCTGGAAAGATCTATGGTGGGTGGAAATTCCTTTTGGCCAAAGATTTCCCAGCTTCTTCTTATTCTCAGTCTAGGGAGACTCCAATTGTTACTTGTGCTACCTCATATTATTTGGAACGCAGATGAGGAGGCGATAGAGTTTGTAAAAGTCTTGAAACTTATCCCTTATTGAATGACTCAAAACTCAAAGATGATTTTCATGATACTCGATGCTTCTGGAAGTGGTAACTGGTTCTACTTTGGTGACCCCAGATGCCAATTCTCCTGGTGTTTTATTATAAGGTAAAAGACATAAAACATACCCTGAGTTTTCATAAATTGACTTAAACATACCCTGGATTTTTCAAGTGGACTTAAACATACCTTCCACCGTTATGTTAAATTGTTTAAATAGAAAGACACTTCTACCCTTTGCTAAGATGTGAAAAAGGTTATCTTCTACTTTCAGACACCAACCCTGTAAACCTTCATTTAAAATTTTAAAGAATGAAGCAATTGCCACTAATGGGGCATGCCTTTCTATGCTCTCTTTAAAAGTTTAAACAACAAACTATTTACAGTGTTCTGAGAAGAGAATATCCAAAGATGATGGATTGTATTTGCTTTTTTTGTGAACTTGGATTCAATTTGTCTAAACTCTCCAAGATGATGAATTAACAGAAATTTGGTATCTCCAGAGCTCCTCCTCTATGCAGATGGTGGTTTCTACCATTTGTTTTAAAATGATAAATTTCTTTTTGTCCTTCTTTTTCTTTTCGTATTTTCTTTGGACTCTATTTTTCTTTTACAATGGCTGATTAAATCTAGCAATCTAATAGAGCTCTTCAGAGACTTGATTGAATTGAAATGACTCTTTAGGGTTACAAGAATGTAATCATGAATAAAAATGTAGGGTATAAATAAAGAAACATCAACAAATACAGCAAAAAATGTGTTTGACTTGGATCAAGATATCAATGTGGTTATGTGGTGAAGGGTGCTAGATTTTTTGTTCACCCTGCAGAAACCACAAGGAGCAGAGCAGATTTTAGCTGGGGGAAGACGTTAATTGAATAAACTATTGACTTCTAAAATTCCTTCAAATTTCAAAGCCTCATACCTTTATTCTTCAGCAACTTTAGCCCAAGAAAGAAAATGGCAAAATCTTATTAAGTTGAATTAAATAAAAAACAGATTTAGTAATTAACAAAGTTGACAAACCCACAAGAAAATATTAGAAAAACAAAGAAAAAACTTGTTAATGAAATATACTAGAAACAATTGTAGAAGAGCAAAGTTGCAACTTCCCTCAGCTCAGTATTAGCCTCACTCCCTTCCCAAGTAAGATAACACTCAATTATGTGTGTCTTAAGAAGCCAACCTGTCTCTTCTTCAACTACACAGAGCAAAGGAAAATTAAAAATAAAAGGAAAAAAAGATGAATTTCTCAAAATCACTATGATGGTGGTTTCTACAATGTGTCTATGCAGATGGTGGCTTTTTACCATTTGTTAGCCTTCGCTGTTATCAAAATCCCTATGATACTTCATCATCTAGATCTCCTCTACAAGATTAGTGTACTGAGAATAAGTTTTGAGATTTGCTGTACTCATCATTACTCCCCAGGGAGGATTGGAACAAGGGATTAATACCTCTCTAAGCTTTGCAAGCGATGACGAGGTGACCCCCAAGAAATGCTACCAAGTTCGGCAAATTGGTGTGTGTGTGGGGGGGAGAGGTTTTCTGGACTGACACCATTCAAACATTGGGGGTCAGCTATTTTCTTCCAATTCAAGTTTGATTTGCCCAAATATGCACATTGGCAAAGTGAAGGGCAAATCAGGAATTTTAAAAATTTAAATGAGTCACCTAGCGTCACATGTTAATTGTTCTTAACGTTTTAATAAGGAAGGTTTTATTTAAGTCCAGAGGGGTCAGCCCACAAGGTATATTTGAGTCAATTTGAAAAACTCAAGGTATCTTTAAGTCAATTTATGAAAACTCAAGGTATGTTTAAGTCTTTTACCCTTTATTATATTTGTCTTTACCAGCTGTTTGATAACAGCTGAAGTGGCCAAACCAGTGATTTAAAAGGCGTGCCTAGGTGCAAAAGTGAGGCACATTTTAGGGTAGGCACCTCGCTCGGGTCCTAGGCACAACACTTTCAAAAGTTGCACACCTGGTGGACTTAGGCATGCTCCTGATGCGCCTTGCGCCTTAGCCCAAGCGTGCGCCTTTTGAAAATTTTACGTTTTTTTGCTTTTTTTGAACCTAGCGGCTAGGCTGGGGGCTTCATCCCCAAACCCTGACCACACCCCTCGAGGCAAGCCCAAACAAGTCCATGTTAGGGTCTTAAATTCTTAATTTTCACACAAAAAATAATGATTTTATAATTTTAATTGCCTTTTAAGAAGATATTTTATTAAGATGAATGAATGAATAACATTCCGAGAACCCCCTATTTGCTAATGTTGTTCATTCATTCATCTTAATAAAATATCTTCTTAAAAGGCAATTAAAATTATAAAATCATTATTTTTTGTGTGAAAATTAAGAATTTAAGACCCTAACATGGACTTGTTTGGGCTTGCCTCGAAGGGAAAACATTAATTTTAAAATTTAAGTTTATATTTTTTGTTAATATTATGCTTAATTTTTTGTTTTTTTAATTTTTGGCTTTTTTTAATTTTCTGACATTTTTTAATTTTTAGCATTTTTTTGTATTATCGCGCCTTGCTTCAAAAAGGCACACACCTCACCTTGTGCCTTGTGCTTTTAAAATACTGGGCCAAACTGAAAAGTTTATTGCTTTGTCTTGTAGTGAATGGATTTTTTTATGGATCTTGTGGACTCCTTAATGGCTGAGGATGAAGTAGGGTAGATCGCTATACCCTTGAATTATTTACTTTTTAGTCATTTGATTCACCAAAATACAAAGCAATAAGTCATTCAGTTCAGCAACTTCAGCTGTTATGAAATGGCCCCTTAGACCTTAGTCCAGATGCTTCTTCTCCTCCATATAATATGCTGGGATCCAGTCTCTCCTCTTAGTCTGAAGATAGCAGGCATGAAGGTTATTACTTGTGTGATTTAATTCAACTC